AATGCTGATGTCAACACAAGCGAGGTTACAGCGAGACTGACTGAGTGAGGGAGAGCTATGCGTGTGTGTGTGAGGTTGCCGGAGTGGGCGGTGTCCCGTGTTCGGTGCCGCGCGCGAGTTGAATGTACTTCAATTACTTCAATGTACAGAATATTCCTCCGGCGGGGCAATCCGCATACAGTGGTCCCTCGGTTAACGAAATTTCGGTTAGCGAACTGCCTCCCATAAGATTCTTAAATTCGGTTAACGAACAAAAATTCGGTTAACGAATTTCTTACGAACCGACCTCAACATGTTTTCGCTTGCATTGGCCGGTCAACCAGCTTTAGTATTAGTCCGCTATTACATTAATCGGTTCTAGGGCTTAAATTCCTTACTATTTTAGTAAATATCAAGAAGTTTATACTATTCAATAATTTTAAAAGTTTAATATTCAATTTTTTAGTAATTTTAACAATTATTGAACATAATTGAAGGTAAAGTGACTAGTTTAATGCGCGGCATCCAGCCTCTTAACACAGCAAACAGGAGTTAGTCTCTCTCTGTTTTCACTGGAGGTAACATCTTGCTTGAGACTCTCTTCAACTAAACGCTTTTTTTCTGTGTTTCCAAGCAAATTATTGGTCATTTTGAAATATGTTTTACATATTGACAATATATAATGAAGTGCAGTGTTGATTTAAAGAAAATAATCTTGAAATACACCAAGAGAACTAAAATTTTATGGGTGAAATGGTGCCATGGGGTGACTTCTCTTCCACCCCAATGCCTTCTCTTCTTCCTTCTCCTCCACCTCCATTCTAATTCCCATTTAGGCAATTTTCGGTGAGCTGGAACCAATTACCCAAAAACCCATTGAAACAATGGTTTCGGTTAACGAATTTTTCAGTTAATGAACAACCTGGTGGAACGGATTGTGTTCGTTAACCGAGGGACCACTGTATTTACAAATCCGTGTATTATAAACCCGCGTATGTTAAGAGCCGACTGTATATGAATAAGTAAGAATACTAACAGAAAAGAATATCTGGATGGTAAATTATAAAGAGAAGAACTCGGCCCGTTACACTTCCACATACCACCCCTCCATATACCACCTCTCCCTCCCTCCCACCATCTACCACCTCTCCCTCTCTCCCACCACCTACCTCTTCCTTCCCTCCTTCCCTCCACATACCATCTCTCCCTCCCTCCCACCACCACCTCTCCCTCCTCCACATACCACCTATCCCTCCCCTCCCTCCACATACCACCTCCCTCCCTCCCACGACCTAACTCTTTCTTCCCCCTCCATCCACATTCTCTCCCTCCCTCCTCCTCACAAACCACCTCCTACCTCCCTCCTCCATCCACAAACCACCTCTCCCTCCCTCCCCTCCTACCTCCTCCTCCTCCCTCCCTCCATCCACAAACCACCTCTCTCCCTCCTCCCTCCCATACCACCTCTCCCTCCTCCCTCCACATACCACCTCTCTCTCTCTCTCGACATACCACCTCTCCTCCCTCCACAAACCACCTCTCCCTCCCTCCATCCATTCACAAACCACCTCTCCCTCCCTCCCTCCACAAACCACTCTCTCTCTCTCCCTCGACATACCACCTCTCCCTCCCTCCCTCCCTCCACTCCACCTCTCCCTCCTCCTCCACAAACCACCTTCCTCCCTCCCTCCCTCCCACATACCACCTCCCTCCCTCCCTCCACATACCACCTCTCTCTCTCCCTCGACATACCACCTCTCCTCCCTCCTTACCTCTCCTCCTCCCTCCCTCCATCCACAAACCACCTCCTCCCTCCCTCCCTCCACATACCACCTCTCCTCCCTCCCTCCCTCCATCCACAAACCACCTCTCCCTCCCTCACTCCACATACCTCCTCTTCTTCCTTCCCTCCACATACACACCTCTCTCTCTCTCTCTCCCTCGACATACCACCTCTCCCTCTCACAAATAATCCGAAACAAAACAACAAAAATGTATTAAAAACATTAGTCTCCCCTAAGTCAACAGACTCAACAACATGCTTTGTTATAACTTTAATAACAAAGCATGGAGTTGACTTGAAAGTAGACTCTTACATCTTTAAGACATTCTTGTTGTCTTGTTTCGGATTATTTGTGAGAAGAGTTTTCCATTATTATTTATTTGTCTCTGTGTGTAGATACACACACAGACAAAAACAAAACACATACAAATAAATAATAATGGGAAAATCATCTCGCAAATAATCAGAAACTAAACAAAAATGTACTGTGGGGTACGAGTTGTTTGGGTTCACACTCAGGATGGGGTGGAGAAAGGAAACTCACAATGTGCTCTCTGTATACATATTGTATTGGATGTACAGTGCAGCTTGGTGCTGGGAAGGCAGCATGGTTACAAGCATTGAGTAGAGAGAGCTGGTTGGTGAGGGTGCTCAGAGGAGGACCAGCTTGTGGGTCGCCATGCTCGCCGGCGGGAGCGAGGGCCGCCAGGCAGGAGTGGAGGAGGTGGTGTTGCTTGCTGGTTGGTGTGGGTAGAAAGAGAGGTAGGTCACCATGAGGTCAGGTCTTATATAGCGGAGGTAGGCGTGGCTTAATAGTTGACCTCCGTCATGTAAGGCGGCGCTGGTTGACCTAGACCACGAGGCATACACTGGCGAATTCGCGGGGTCGGCTACTCAGCGACAAACAGCGTTTGTAGGGGAGGAATCCACTACAGTATTAAAAACATTAGTCTCCCCTAAGTCAACAGACTCAACAACATGCTTTGTTATAACTTTAATAACAAAGCATGGAGTTGACTTGAAAGAAGACTCTTACATCTTTAATACATTTTTGTTGTCTTGTTTCGGATTATTTGTGAGAAGAATTTTCCATTATTATTTATTATGTGTGTCTGTGTGTGTTATTCTTATTATTTCTTCTACATCAGTGTCAAACGTATTCCACATCCTGTTTTTATTTTTTTTAGAAGTTCTTAAGGCAAAAAAGGTTATACCGGTAATTAATCGCCTTTCTTTAAAAATTGAGTAAATTAATCTACGGACAGGTAGCTAAACGTACCTCCTTCATAAACTCCAACATGTTTTATTTCCCTTTGAATTTTTTTAAGATTTTTGGCTTAAAGATTAAAAAAGCACATTTCAAATAGCTGTTCTGTCCTATTGAGACGAGTTATATTGTAAGGTTATCACAAATAAACAAGTGTTAAAGGTCAGTCAAAGTGGTGTTTGAGGTCATTTGAGGTTAGTTATATCCGTGGGGTCAGGTCATGTGGGGCTGAATAGGGGAGAGGAGGTGTGGTATTTTATTGTGGGTAGTAGTAGTTGTGGTGGTGGTGGTAATAGTAGTTGCAGTTTTTATCATTATTTCGTAATATTTTATATTTTCAATTTTTATCGTGTTTATCAAATATTTTAGTCAACATGAACGCAATTTAAACATAATTAATAGACAATTCAACAAAAATCCCACAAAATAAACGTGTCCATTATAAAACTTGAAGTAAACCAATACCCATTAAACATAAACATAAAAAAACACCCATTAAAACAGAGAGGTTATGTTGTCGCTGACCCACACACACCTGTTAATCATTTATTTACTGTGGAGACGCTGGGTGTGCCTTACCTGGTGTACGGTGTAAGCGGCACCCGCACGCTACCACAAAGGTGATTTGGCCCAAGTCACACGGCATGGGTGAGCTGCAGTAGGTGTCTTTAATTACTGTCCAGACTCTATACTAACACTAATGGTAAGGGTTTGGTTTGGTTTGGTTAGACTAATTAAAAATAGCTCTAGTTTAGGGTAAGTTAGGTCTGGTTTAGTTTAAAATAATGTATTTTAAACTAAACCAGACTTCAAGTTGGCTTTAGTTCAGATTAAGTTAGGTTGGATTAGGTTATTGAACTCTAGATCCGGGGCAGTAACCTCGACCAAAATGAGTCTACTGTATATACCTAGTCCAACAGACACACGTATGTCAACACATGACAAACTGTATTTTCCCTGTAAGCAGGTACTAATAGGTAAAGTAAACTCAGGTAATTCATCAGAGTCCAGGTAATGATGGCAATTAAGAGATAAAAATATGTTAGTTAATAAACGAAGGATGGCCAGAAGCAAGAGAAACACACACACACACACACACACATATGAATTTTTTCTCCCGGTAAAAATTTTATCATGTTGGTACTAACTTCCTAAAAATATTGTTAATAATAATCAAGAATAAAGTATCAACAGTTAGGAGAGATTTAGAGCGATCAGAACACCGTAATGGAAGGTAAAAAAAAGCTGAAAGCACAACTTAATGATGCTGGTTGTCTTACCTTCATTAAAATGTATGAAAGTCCAGTTTGGTTCACCTTGTGTAGAAAAGTTTTATTTTTTTTTTTATTCTATTTCTTTCAATGTTTTATTTTTACCTGTTATAGCCCATATGGTGCTTATATTTCTACAAGGAGTGCAGGAGTTCGGTGTGTGATGAAACATTTCCTTGACGTAATAACAGCCAGATGAAAGTCAAGTGTGTGTTGAGTGCTTCGGGTAACCGGCCATGGCTGAAGTTATCCATGCATTAATTAACCTCAAATTTGGAGGATAACTAAGAAACAACTTCATAAAGTAATCTGTTGTATTACAACATATCATGAGGTATAATGGTAGTTAGTACATAGTTAACTGCTTGCTATAGGGAAGTGAGAAGCCATAGTTTTGTCTGGCAGCAATGACCCAGGTGGTTGATGGCAGCCCTCCTCCCCCTCTCTCCTCACCCGTCTCCTCTTTCTATTCACCTCTCCCTTTCCTCCCCACCATCCTGATCCCTCCCCCCTCTCCTCACCCCAAATAAAATAACAACCACTGACATTATCATTTAGAAAATAACTTGGTAAAGTGGTCCTTGAGTCATGGAAATATCAGTTGTAATAATAATTGAGTACAGGAGACACGGAACTGGCCAGATCACAACACCTCCTCCCCAGTTAGTGCTGAAATACATCAACAACTCTCTTGCTTTTGCCACAGGATCCCGGGGTCTCGTTACTTTTTGGGTTAGCACTACATAATGGTATCAAAATACACTACAGCATATTCGGAAGCGGAAATTGCTATCCACGGTAGTCGCTGGAGCCATGGCCAGTGAAGGCCAATATCAACACAATGCAACATCGCCAGCCACGATAGTTACAAAAATACCCAGCAATGTTTAAACAGGGGATAGGGGAGGGAGAAGGGTTTATCCGATCTCCAGGTCTTCACCTGCCGTGGCTCTGGTTACTAGGGGGGAAGCAATTACTGCTTCTGACTGTAAATATTAGAACACAGAAATCAAAACAATTTACCTTTGATAAATTCATTTAATCAGACTTCTCCATAATCAATATCTGCAAAGTCAAATATGTAAAAGAGCATTACAAATCTTCTGAACTACAAAAAACAATGTTTTCAAAAATGTAGAAATAGCATGTTATTAAATCTAGACCTGAATAAATTCTATTTCATACAATTCTATGGGAATTTTTTTAAGAAAAGCTAGATAATTCAGATAATGCAAGGAGCATTTTCCTGCCCATTACTTTAGTATAAATGCTCTACTATACTGTAAATCCATTTTAAATTCATTTAATAATGATGTATTTCTAAAACAATGAAAATGCTACTTACAACTTCCTTCAACTGTTCAAAATAAAACTCATAATTCCATCAGTCACTTATAAAACTGACATTCCAATTAGCAAATTCTGCCATAAATGATCTGTCACAGTTAATTTGTTTTCCATTTCCTGTAATATGCCAACCAACTTATTTTGCAGCAGAAGTGGGCTATAATTATCAAGAGATTCAATCACCTAAAATTTTTCTTTTTAATGAAAAATTTTATCGTGGCATTTCAAACAGCACACTGAAGACCTCATAACCTGCAATAAAGCTGTTGCTGAAAGCTTAAACATTTTTTGTTAAAATACCATTACTCTTCCTTGAATTTATTCTTCTTGTCCAGGATCTTCATGAGGTCCTTAGACATGTAGTATGGTTTTTCTGCTGACCCGTCATTTTTCTCACAATCCACCAGGAAACACAGGAACAATGTGTCCACAGCCATAGCATAAACAGAGAAGAATGCAGTGGTTATAAAAAAGGTGCCAATAGTGATAATAATAACTGGAGTATGATAATAATTCATCTCAGGCAAATAACCCTTCATAATTTTTACTTCACCACTGAATATGAAGAAGGAAGCAACACCAATGATTCCCACAACCACCATCTTTCCAATGAAGAGTAGGAAGTCTGTCACCTGTGGGTCATCAAATTAAACATATCATTAGAGAATAACATACAATAAAGGGGTTGTAAAGATTTTTTTTTTTTTTAAATCAATATTCATATTGAAGTACAGTTGCCCACAAGTATTTGTACATGCCTGTGGTTCTTGTGTGGGTCAAATTATATGTTATAATTATCTGGTAACACATTCCTACAGAGAACTGTCAGAATTCCAAAATAACCATTTGTTTAAGTGACATTCTCTTATACATGTCATGAATAAATTTGTTGTGAGTACTGTACAGTATTTGAATAGTGTCAGGTCTTGAAAACACGACAATTCTGTTTTATGGATAAATATACAAGTTGTTGCCGGCTGGTACTGCAGTTGTTTTACTGTGTCTGTCTTCCCTATTCTCCTCCACCTCCCAATCTATTTAGTGTTACGATTGATTGAATAGACCTGTGTGGCACTGGATGGTAAATAAAAATAGAAGGTAGAATTTGATAATGCTGAAACAGTTTTATGAATATTGGTCCCATACAGCATTGCAAGAAAACGAATCAGTGTTTTGTAACATCTCAAATGCTTCAAATCCCTAAAAAACATCAGTAACAGCTATAACACCATAAGTGTAAGGAATCATCCCCAGTACTTTTATTGCAACACAATAAAGCTCTATTACAATCAATAATACTATTTTTAATTCTACCATTACTTCCAATATAATGTCAGCCAAATGATGACACAACTACTTGAACTGATACCCCCTGTAAAAAATTCCCTATCAATGAAACTTTAATTACTGACGGAATAATTATCACCAGTAGAATCCCAATTATCCGGCACCTCCGGGGATTGAGAGGTGCCTGATAAAACAGTTTTTCTGCTTAGTTGAAAATCACTCGTAAGATCCCACAATGCACCGTGCTACATGCTGACCTTGCAAATTCATCTCAGAAGACGGAATTCTTTAACATTTATTGCACTCTATATAAAGAAAACATAATATAAAACTATAAAATAAGAAAAATGAAGAGCATGGGTGTATATGCTGTCACATTTGTTGTTACATGTAATGACACTAAATATAAAAGTTGTTGAAAATCATTACAATACTCTCATGTGGCCTATAAATAAAGAAACTATAATATAAAACTACAGTAGTACCCCGATTTACGCGGTCAATTGAACCCATGGGGTACCACGTGTCATGGGTTGCGTTAGGCTTACCCACGCAACCAACTCCAAAGTTTGTTTTACCAGAGATAAGACGCCCGGCGAGGCATAACTGGGACATGTATTTTTCAATTAGTGTATGTCAGCCAGCCTTTAGGGGGGTGGGCAGTGGAACAGTGTTGTACTGTTCATCGCTTCACACCCAAAAACCTCATTTTAAGTAGTACCCCCTGAGCCATGGGTTAGTTAAGACGTCGTCTCCATCCTCTCCCTCCTGAAAGGGGCGGGACACCACACCACACAGAGTCCTCCACCGCCACTCCGTCCTGTGAACCGTCGTCGACACGAGACTAAGTGTGTTAACCTAGGTTGTTATCCCCGTGGAAATATCACGTGTGGAAGCCTGGTTGCGACAAAAGCAATCCAGGCTGGTCTATTGCACCTAAATGGTTAATTCAAGTCATGCTTACCAGTTCTCCTTGCCGCGACAACCGTCTACCGTGACTGTCAGTGACGCGAGACTATGTGTGGTAAACCAAGAGTACCTTTTGTTGTTATGGCCGTGGAAGGTCGACACGAGACTAAGCGTGTTAACCTAGGTTGTTATCCCCGTGGAAATATCACGTGTGGAAGCCTGGTTGCGACAAAAGCAATCCAGGCTGGTCTATTGCACCTAATGGTTAATTCAAGTCACGCTTACAGAGTTCTCCTGCACGACACCATGTGTGGTAACCCAAGAGTACTTTTTGTTGCTGTGGCCCGTGGAAAGAAGTCCTTGTGCGGAAGCCTGGTTGCAACAAAAGCAATCCAGGCTGGCAGTAAATGTATCACTTGAAGAATTAAGGCTCTGTTAAGTTATACCCATAGTAGAGTAATCACATGTGTCCCCAAGTTAAAATTCTCTTTTAGAAGATTAATTTTATTACAGCGTGAACGTGAGTGAATCATATATCCATGCAAATTGTAAATCATTGTATGGAAGCTTGACAAATAAATGTAAGTGCAATTATCTGCCCGTATCTGTGATCCTATCTTATTATTACTAAAGGTAATGACTGATTGGTTATGACAAAGTATAACCAGTAACTTAGATGGAAGTGAAAATTTAATGAATTCATTAAATCATCATTTATCAAGTATAAATCATGGAATGTCGAGTGGTGGAGTGAACTTCTACGTAGATACGCCATAATCTCCTGTAAGTAATCAGTGTGAAGGTATCGGACTCTACGGTAAGAAATAAGAAATACGACATAATATTATCTTTATATGATATAATCCACTCATACTTACCACTGATTCATACCAAAACCATGACACCGCGGAAAGTGAAAACCGCGTAAAGTAAACAACACAACATATGGGATTAATTCCAATAGAGACTGGCCCGACGCCCAAACTCCACTTTTTCCGACACAATACCTATGTTGTAGTAAAAATAACATCTTAATTTTATGATGGTATGCACACACAATTAATATTTAAGAGAAATACAGTCGCCAGGTTAATGGCCATTCAAATAATGGACTCAACCCCCCCTGCCTCTTCCCAGCTCACTGGCTCCTACCTCTCTGAGAAATGTTTGGGTGAAAACACTAGATTTTAACGTATAGTAATAAATAATACCTCAGACTAAAGTTAGGATAATATAATTGACATTTCTGGATTCCTTGCAGGTCAGGGAATATTTTGAATGTAAACTTCATATATTTTGCACAAAAGATAAAATATTTGCTTTGTGTAAACCAAATTATTACATTAGATCTAAAATTTGTATGTCTAATGCAAAATCCATGATGTTTATATTCAAAATGATCATCATATTGTAAGAATTCCAGTAATGTAAATTATATTCTGGCCGGGTAATTTGTATGAATTTTATGAGCTAAATAAAAAAATTATACTTCTCCCGCGTATATGAGTAGATGCACCACGTAAAATGAAATTCCGGTTCTGGCTAGGTACCGCGTAAATGTAGAATCGCGTAAAGCGAAACTGCGTAAATCGGGGTATTACTGTATAAAATAAGAAAAATGAAGAGCATAGGTATGTATTTGTGGGAATAAACGTGTGTGTAGACGATGGGCCATGACTACATTGCCGACGTGTCACTCCAGCCGCCGTGTATATTGTTACTTGTAATGAAACTACAACAATGTTTCATATTATAATTACATTAATGGCATTCAAGCACACAGTTCTGCAATTAAAGTGAACCGAGTATCTGCAAGTGATTATTCTCTCTTGGCTAGAGGGGTGAGGGAGAGAAGTTTGGTTGGAAAACAAAAGGAACACAGGCAAGATTGGGAGGGAGGAAAGGTGGGAAAACTATGGATGGTGAAATATTGGCTACACATTAAGGCTCTATCACACTGATGTCTTTTAATTATGCCCAGTGCAGTCATCAATCTTCAAACACCAAAAATACATTGGTGGCAGACTTCTACTTGACTATACCCTTTCCTCTCAAACTGGTGTCTCTCAGCACTGGGAATTTGTTGCTATCAGGATAGCCTCCGACTTTCACTGTCAGCAAACAAGTTTTAAAATATGTGGTGTGTTCTCTGGCTATACAGCGCCCAAAATAAGCAGTCAAATGAAAACAAACTATTTATCTGTTATGCTTATACAGGTTGTACCTCTCTAGTCCAGCATTCTGTGGTCCGGAAACTCCCGTGGTCCGGAACGATTTTAGTTTGTCCAATAGGAAGATAGACAGTTTTTTTTTTTTTTTTTTTTTTTACTTATCTGAATTATTATTATTATTACAGGAGTATTAAATTTTTGCCCCTCAGGCCCCAATGTGGGTCAGTGACCTATGCCCGGGTGGGCTAATCCCCTTAAAAAAAAAAAAAAGCCGCGGGAAATTAAGGTTTGTTTACATCCGGCAGTTCGGCTGCTCTCTCTCTCTCTCTCTGCTTGTCTATACAGAGTACAACATTTAACCCTTCAATATATATGAGCAGTAAATAAGTGTTGCTTTCATATTCTTATGTAGAGTAATGACGATATATTTTCACATGTGCACACTTACATACGAGCAGTCTCACTTTTTTTTTTTACCATTAATGGTTAGCTACTTATATTGTTCCATTTATTAACATTAAATAACATTACAGGTACTTCAAGCAACCATATTCATTTTTTACATTAATTTTACTACAGCTAAACTCAGGGTCTTATTTTCTTCAGTTTTATATGTAGAACCAATCAGTCACTGGTTTCGTAAGCTTTAACATAAACAATGCCGGCAGCCGTCTCGTCTCCTCTAATATTCCACGTATTATTAATAAATTGTATTGTTAATTTTGCACACACGTACATTGATTCAATAAAAACAAATTCAGAAACATTAATTAAAATATATATGAACAGTAAATAAGTGTTGCTTTCATATTCTTATGTAAAGTAATGACGATATGTTTTCATGTGTGCGCATGCGCACTTACATTTGCGATCTCTCTTTTTCTTTACCATTATCGTCAGCTACTTCTATTGTTCCATTTATTAACATTAAATAACATTACTTAAAACAACCATATTAATTTTACTACAGCTACAACCAAGGTCTTATTTTCCTCAGTTTTATAATCAACGAAAACAATGCTGTGTCATTTCCTCGTGTGTTTTAATATTCTACGTATTGCTCATTTTGCACACACAAACATTAATTCAATAAAAAAGACATTCAGTAATAAACAATAATGAATCTTTTGTACATAAGAGAAATGACGCTGTTTACACGATTATGCACGTCGTCTGCACGTTGGCGGGCCGTTCAAACCCGTCGAAATTCAAGTTTCCGCCGTCAAAATTTTTTTTAATTTATTTTTTTGTGTGTCCCAATAAAA